TCGATCAATATAGTACAGTACACCTCGGCAAACTCCGGCCCAGCTCACAGTTGCGATGATAAGCGGACTTTTTTGGCGCGCCACCTTGATCGGTGGTTGTGCACCCACTGCACGGGCCGGGGTACGTGGCCGAGTGGACAGGTGTTGGATGGCCGCTGCTTCTAGAAAGCGCAGCGCAACGAACGTCAAAGCTGACGCGACCGGGAGACATTGCCGCCCCGTCGCTCCGTGACGACTGCACTGGCGTGAGCGAGTCCGAGTCCGAGTCGGGCGGCCGGCCGGCCGGTGTGGTGGGGGTCCAGCCGGGCCAGCGGGGTCCGGTCTCGCTACACGGAGAGAGGGGAGACACACAACTTGGCATTGGCCATTGGGTACAAGGAGTATTCTACCGTTAGGCACCGTGTCCGTGTGCGAGTGCGAAATGTCTTCGCCGAACCTGATCGATCCAGTTCCAGCGCGGTGGCCCGCAGCTGTACGTGTACGCGCTTGTGAACTCTAGCTCGTCCCGTGGGCGGGGATGCTTGGCCGGGGCCTGGGGGCAAGCCGGCAGCCGAGTAAAGAGGGGCAGGTGCATGCGCGTAGCGGCGTAGGCACGAAGACGACGCACGGCACACGGGCATCGCACATGCACGCACGGCCCTGCTTTGCCTCTGTGTGACGCCCATATTGACCTGGCGGTGCTGGTGGTGGCTTTTGCATGCATTGAGTGATCGGGGTCTCTCGGATCCGTCAAGGCGCCTTGAGATGGGGCCTGACCTGGGGCTGCCTCCGCAGGTGGCCCTGCCGGGCTAACCAACCAGCCGTACCGGGTCGGTGAAGACCACACACACGGGCAGGCATGTCCCTATCACGGGGAGGCCCAACCAGCCTGCCCCTACTCGACTGCCCTTGCTCTTGCTCCTGACCGCGTCGCTCCCAACAAACGACAGACGGTCGCAGCTCACGGGTTCTATAGGAACTAGCAGGAAGGTCCGCGCAAACTGCGCGGGCTAGGAAGCATCACAATATGCAATTTTTTCATTATAAGTACCTGAGGTGTCATAACGGTTCTACGTCTGTCCTCATGGAGATGTGGGCTGTTGTTATGAACAATATTGAACACTTGCAATCAAGGACGATGTAGATGAGGTTTTCCCTGGACTGGTGTTCGCCATGGGCATGCGAGCTGTTGTGTGGATTGGCACATAAGAAAAATGTTTTAGTAGGTAAATAATATTTCTGATTAAAATGGTACGCCACAGATAATCCTAGTCGTACAGCTGACCACTGTACAAATTGATTTAAAATGATTGTAATGCATACCACATCATGAAGAAATGATTAATTCTATCATATGGCACAGATTCATATGGATCCTCTAACTAAAGAGGATGGAATCATAAATGGCATTGGTAGGGTGATGGCAGATTGGCAGCAAAGCGCATATCCGAAAATGGGACACTAATGGTGTGTTGTAGGGACATCATTTACGAAAAGGACCTATACAGAGTCCATGTATATATCTATACAGGGATTGTTGGTTCATAGTCCTACGGCTGGATATCGAACCAGCTCGGCTCGGTCCAGCTCGAGCTGATTCGTTAAGCTAACGAGCCAGCTCGGCTCGGCTTGTTAATATTACGAGTTAGAAGGGCAACTCAGCCCAGCTCAATGGCTCGTTTAGCTTGCGAGCTACTAAAAAAATAGGACATACATGTTTATAATGTTCATATCATAATAATTTCAGAAGGTGACGTCCAATATTATATAACCATACATGATTAATACATATCAAGTTCATCAAAAGTATCAACCATGCAACATAGCTAGTCTATCCATGATCCATACAGTTCCAGCATACTTACTGGTTGCTTGCCACCACAGACTTAGAAAAGTCCACAAATTCAATATCAGCATCATCTTCTCCCTGTAAAATAATCCATAAATCAATATTTAAGTACCACAACAATTATAAAATCAAAATTCATATGAAACAGCTGAAAATAAGGATTATATATTAATGGAATAGGTGTACACTTCTAGGTCAGCATCATCATCATCTGGATTCATTGTCGTGGGTTGATAGGCCTCAGCTCGTTTGAGCTCGCGAGCTGGCTCGTTAAAACAGCGAGCTAGACTTTCAGCTCAGCTCATGAAAAAGTTAAAATAAGCCAAGCTGAGCCGAGCCAAACACGAGTTGACGAGCCACGAGTATTTTGTCGAGACCTGCATACAACCGTACACATGGCAGGTAGTAAAATTAAATAAGCAATTGAAACACAGGAGGAACAGCAGCAAGTTAGGAGCTTACGACGGTGTCGATTGCACAGCAAGGGCGTCGAATTCTCCGCAAGTAATATATATGTGTGAAGGAATACTGATAAAAGAGGAAGTGTTGGCGGTGTGTCATGGAAGAGCAGTGCTGGTTGTTTGGCTGGTAAATTATGAGCACGTACCCTTTTTTGCTCCGGGGGCTATAACGGACGTACGCCTTTTGCGGCTTTCAGTGGCACTGAACGACCCTGGGCGTGGCATATGTATTGCAAAGAAATAACAGAGATTGGTCAATATCACATACGTGGTCTGTGCTGGCATAGCTTGACGAATTTTACTGACTATAGGAAGAATCATCCTACTGATTGTAAAAAAAATATTTGACAGGTCATAGAAGAAGCAGGCAGTAGTCTCGGCATGGTTTGCAAAAATGTGAAACTTGACATCACAGACAGGAAAGCATTAGATATGATATACATAGAAGTAGGCAACATCACAGGGGACTAAATATTAAATTCTAGAATCACCTAGCCGGTCGCCTGACCAGGCGTGTTTGTGAGACTGCCATTCTCGAATCCGAAGGTGACATAGAGGAAGCGTCACAACGTAGTTGTCCGCTGGTATGTCCGGCTATATCAGAAAGGGAAATTAATGAATGCCTCTGTATATGCCTATGAAGGCAAACACTGAATCAGCAAAGCAAATGGAAGTAGCAGCGTTGAGAACGACAACATTACCTATATGTGGCTCATCAACATGAGCAGGCCCACGCTTACGGCCTTTAACCATAACTGAAGGAACTACGCCACCGGTAGTGGGAGGGCGACGAACAGCACAGTAAGCAGATTGATAGAGTGTTTGAAATAGCAGGCTGTTCTCACAGCTAGTGGATGAAGAGACCTATTAAACTCTGCATGTTTCTTTGATGGAACAGTAAACATATTTCCGTTCGAATCATTTTCATCTCTGATATGGCCTCCAACAGCGCAGACCCTGTACATAGTGCATGCAAATGACATTTGCATATCAATACTAAGAGTACTATAGAAGGTAGCATCAAACTCTTTGAATGAAACCTGTACTGCCTAATTAGAACAGATGTAAAATAAATTCAAACTCTGCATCCCTGTAAGCCCGTATCTCTTTGCCGATTAAAATTGGACTTCTTCAAGATCAACCTTAAGCCTGTATCTCTTTGCCTTGGTAATCCCTTGGTGTATGTTGTTCGCTGATCATGTAGTGTTAGTGGACGAAAGCCAGACAGGAGTAAATAGAAAATTAAAGTTATGGCGGCAGACCCTTAAGTCTAAAGGTTTTAGATTGAGCAGAACTAAAACCGAATACATGAGATGCGACTTTGGCGGAGTTATACAGCAGGAGGGAGATGTGAGTTTAGAAGATCAAGTAGTGCCTAAGAAGGATACCTTTCGGTATCTGGGATCGATGCTACATAGGGATTGAGATATTGATGCGGACGTTAGCCATAAAATCAAAGCAGGCTAGATCAAGTGGCGATAAGCTTATGGCATTCTATGTGACAAGAGGGTACCACAAAAAGTAAAAGGCAAGTTTTATAGAACGACGATTAAACCGGCTATGTTATATGGAGCATAATGTTGACCTAGGCCTTGTTTAGATGTCATCCAAATTCCAAGTTTTTTCACTCTCTCTCCATCACATCAATTTTTAGTCGCTTGCATGGAGTATTAAATGTAGGTAAAAAAAATAACTAATTACACAGTTTAGTTGGAAATCACGAGATGAATCTTTTGAGCCTAGTTGGTTCACGATTGGACAATATTTGCCAAATAAAACGAAAGTGGTACTATTCATCGAGTTAAAATTTTTTGCAAAGAGAACAAGGCCCTATAAAGATTCGACATGTTCAACGACTAGGTGTCGTAGAATGTTAACCTATAAAGATTTGACATGCTGAACGACCGAGTGTTCGTATGTTCTGAGCACCTGCACGGCGGCGGAGCGAGAGCGGAGAACCCATGCCTCCTTCACGGGAACGTGCTAGTAATACACTAATACTACGCGTTGGTCAATTGTCGTCGATAAGGCCGCACACAGGAAACCGGGAGCGGAAGAAAGAATCACCACGCTCCATCGAGTTTTATCTGCATCGTGTAGCTATTGCGACATCCATCGAGCAGACGATGGAAAAGTCTTGCACAGGATCCCCTCACAACCACCAACTTGTTTCGGGAGGACAAAGCTGCGTCCGTCCAGAACATGAAAAGGCATGGAAAACCAAGGCACAGAGGATGTAACTATCTGAAAGATAAGATCAGTTCCACAACGACATGCGCCGCAGAGTCTGCACGGCATCGACGAGACCGGCCGTTCCAGCTTTGAAGGCTAGTCAGACACCCAGACCACCCTCCACTGACCCAGGCGCTCAGGCAGTAACAGTGACCCAGTGGCGGCCACTCGATGCGAAAACCACGAGTCGGCAGTAGGTGAGTTGGAAGCCTATTCAGAACCACACGGTCCAACATGACATGGGAAATGATTGCCAGGGAACCAAATTTCCACGAGGATTCTTTTTTATGGACCACGAACGCACGAATCAGGAGCATACAAAACAGCAAACCAACACATGCGGAAAGAAAGTTCAGCTCGTGAAAATGAAACGGTACTAATTTGTAACGCAGCATGCCTGAACAAATGTAGCAGCTCAAAACAGACAACAAGCGTCAGACGCAAACTACAAATACCCCATTACTACTTTGACAGAATTTTCACTCTGATTCTGATTCTGACTGGCAAGCAGGGAGGTAGTAGGTATCCAGTTGCCAGTATTTCTGCTTCACGCCCTTCCAAACTTCTTCCGCCAGGCAATCTTTGACCGGCAAAGGGATGAACTGCGTCGAATACCCCAGATTGGCTAGCTCTAACGCGACAAGCTGGCAGTACACGGCGTGGAAGAACGCATTGTCGCCGCAGAGGCCATTGAAGTATGAGTAGATGCCTCCGGGCTTCAGTAGCTTAGGAAGGTGTTGGTGGAACTCTCTCATGTCCTCGTAGTATTCCCCGTATGTGTCAAAAAATATGCCTGCACATGTAAGAAAACAATGGCATTAGAGAAGATTTCCCTACTATGGTTTTCATGGCTGTACTCGAGGAAAGTCAAGCTATTTTATGGTAGTATCCATTCTGAGCGTGAATTCATATTCATCTCTGACGGTAAATAGATGATAACTTTTGCTTGATTATAAAATCAAAAGGAAATGGTTATCGCATTGACAGTTAGTTAGTTACATATCAATTTCAGTTATCATAACAAATACTATAACATAGTTGGTTGCAGGTTCCTTTCTTCCTTCCCTTTGATATTTTCAAAGATAAAAACTAGGTAAATGGTCTATGTGCAGTTCAAAGTATCAGAGATGGCAAACTGCACATGGTTTGAAATATCCGAAACTAGATTCATAGAGGACATATGTGCTCATAATTCAACAACTTATCCACAGAGGATGGTGACTAGGGTTTGAAATCAATCAATTGTCATGCACTGGCCTACTTCTATTTGAACATATATTATTCATCACTCAAGTTACCATAACAATAATTGACAAGCAAGATTGACATCTTCCATGACATTGTTATCTATGCTCATAAACGAAGTATAAAAAACATGATGTTGAAATATGCATCAACAGCGTTAGAATGAACTCAAGAAGATGCAAATCACTTATTTAGAACAGGTCTGCTACACTAAAACAAATAAATCACTGTATGACACTTGAAGAAAGGATTAAAAACACAGTGAAGACAAAGGGTTTTGCTTATAAGGAATGCTTGGGTGTTGACGGGTTCTGTTGTTTGGTAGGGAGCAATGCTGGTCCAGGTGCTTGTGCTCTTAATATAAGAAGAGCAACAAGGAAAAAGGAGGAGAAAGAGACATGGAGAAAGCAAAGTAATATAAATAGACAGATTTCCAGGTTCTGTTTTCACAGTTTCCCATTGCATGTGGACTAAAATGTACACACATCACATTTGTTTATAAGTATTGCAGTGTCTTCTAAGTTCCTATGTTTTCTCAACTACCAATTGCAGTGTTTTTGTATTCTTTTTCGCATTTATGCATTCTAAAGAGGCCTTATGGCCTAAACACTAACCAACTGTTCTTATTTGGACTAGCACAACCACCACCACGACCACCGTGCCCAAAAAAATGGTTACTTCAATGGATGAAGAAAGATGCCCAAAAAATAAGAGTAAGATTACTAAAATAAACAAAGGTTCACCTTTTAAATAAGTTTCATCAAAAGAAAACAGTAGCTCTGTGCATACTGTTGCAAATTACCCCACCTGAGTGAAGCTAAACAAGGTTTCCAAGTGCCACACAGAGCCATGAAACGGCTGTTTGCAACATAATACTCATGTGGTAAGCACTTCTATAGACGCCTTCCAATGTACACATGTATTCAGAAACTATCTAGACGCACACTTTTCCTGACAAAAGGTCCAAAATTACCTACTCCGAAAACTTTTAGAAGCACTAGCTTGAAAACTTTGAATATACTCCCTCCAGTCAATAATAGCTGATGTTTGTGAGATTCTGGAAAAGTGCACCAATACTTGTCAGTGGATAAAATTTGGCCTAATTAAACGTATCATATCCATTCATGCCCTGAGCCATGAAACGGCTGTTTGCAACATAATACTCATGTGGTAAGCACTTCTATAGACGCCTTCCAATGTAAACATGTATTCAGAAACTATCTAGACGCACACTTTTCCTGACAAAAGGTCCAAAATTACCTACTCCGAAAACTTTTAGAAGCACTAGCTTGAAAACTTTGAATATACTCCCTCCAGTCAATAATAGCTGATGTTTGTGAGATTCTGGAAAAGTGCACCAATACTTGTCAGTGGATAAAATTTGGCCTAATTAAACGTATCATATCCATTCATGCCCTGCATCCCTATGAGATCCATGTCCCGTCCTGTGACAGCCACCATCTCCACGGTTGACAGCGGCAGTCCCTCTCCTCCGAACATGCTCCTCTCAGTATCCTCAGGTACAGCTCGGAATGAGCAGTAGTTGGCTAGCGCAACATCTGGGGTTCACACAAAGATTGCCTGGATGAGGCCACTTGTGGAGACACAGCTGAATATTGTCACCCAGAATGTCCTGCTTCCATCTCAGGTACAAGCTTACTGGTGAAAGTCCTTATCTTGAGCATCCCACTCTCCACTCATTCATCTTTCCTCCTTTCCTTTCAGATCTGAGGTCCAGCCGTGATGGAGGTCCGAGCTTCTGTGAGGGCATCGATGGAGGCCAAGGAGTTCTTAACGGTGGTGAAGCATGCTGTACTCTGATGGACTAGGTGAGGAACATGAGAGTCATCCAGACAGGATCCATGGTCTCCGCAATTCACTCTCTCAAATCCATGTTAGATGGCCATCCCTTTGGCTGAGCACAACAGCATCAGCGGATGAGGTGAACACTGGGAACCAGCGACATTAGTGGATGCGGTCACTGGGCAGTGGGCACCAGTACTGGTGGAGTCCTGCCGGTGGATGGCGGGAACAGCAATGTGAGAAGTCACATTCAACGGGGAAGAACAGGGAGAGTAATTGAGGAATGGTCAGACGGGGAAGCACCAGAACCAACTGGAAAACTAAAGTATCATCTTTGATACTAATAAGCATCAGCATAAGCTTCTTTATCATTCATTGAAAACAATGAATCTTAACATGACCAAATCCTATGTCATTCTACAGAACATTACTCCAGAAAGGCCACAGACACAGAGAAAATTATTGTTAGATACTACCAACTTCTTCATGCTCCTGAATTCCTGCTAGAGCATGCCAAGGATAATGCAACCTATGGAAATTTCACCTGAGACATACTCCAGAAATTTCCTATCTTCAGCTTTTGCCCAACTTCTCCATACTCCTGAATCCCTACTAGGCATACCATGGATAATGCAACCTATGAAATTTCACTTGAGAGACTCCCAAAAATTTTCTATCCTTCAGCTTTTGCACAACTTCTCCATACTCCAGAATACCTACTAGGGCATGGCGGCATGCCAAGGATAATGCAAACCTACGGAAATTTCACCTAAGACACCTAGAACTAGGACATTCCACAACAGAAAACTTACCCCCAGTCCCCAGACAAGAAAGCATTTATCATTGCAACATCGATGACCAAACATGACAACACTGAAATGAATAAGCAAAGGTAGAAGATATGTTATACCGTCATAAGATCCGAGCTGCGGCATCACGTCCTGCCATCGGCCGAACACGATTCTGACGTTCTTCTTCTCGCCCCACCCGAGCTTGAGCATCCGTTCGTACACCTCTGGGTGGGCCTCGACGATGGTGTGCTCCTCGGGCTCGTACCTCTGTATCGCCTCGTCCACCAGCCCCATCCCGAAACCCACGTTGAGCACCTTGCCACCGCCTTGGCACACCGCCCGCGCGTGCGCCTCCATCAGCGGCCGCTCCCACGCCATCATCACTGCCTTGCTCTCCGCGTCCATCACCCTCTCCTCGCTGAACGAGACCCTGGATTCGAGGTAGCCCTCGGCCGGGGCACCGTCCGAGGCGTTCGCGGGGACCGCTTGCCGCCGCGCGACGGTGCCAAGGACGAGCTCGGAGAGGAGGGCGTGGTCGAGGAGGATGTCGTAGGTGTCGGGGTCCGAGGCTAGGTCCCCTGCTGAGAGGCCCGAGGGGGAGAGCGCGTTCCAGGGCGCACCGCAGTCGAGGAGGAGGCGCGCAACGCCGGCGTGCCCCCCCGCGGCCGCGTGCATGAGCGGGGTCAAGCCGTCGGCATCGAAGTGGGTCGCGTCAGCTCCTGAGGCAAGGAGTTTAGCGACTTCCTCCTCTTCACCGGACTTCGCCGCCGCGCAGAGCAGCTCCTCCGGCGCCGCCGCCATTTTTTGGGTCGAGCAGTGGTCAGTGGAGTCTCCCTTTTTCTCGTTTTCTGAGGTTTTAGCTCACCAGCATTGGGCCTTATGATTTCTCATTAAACCAATGTCGGCCCAATCAGTTCACCAGGTTTAAAGCCCATATGCCTCTCTGCCTTGACTTCGAGGTCACTCCACGAAACGGACGGGATCGCAGTCGCCCAGTCGCACCTGTTCCTCTCTTCGATTTGGCGGTAGCTTCGTAGCGCCGCTCAGTCGCCGCCGATCACCTTCGCCTCGCCTGTGTGTCCGGAGTCAGCGAGGCCTCGACTGGCTACGCTTAGCAATAGTCTCGGTCACTGCGGTCTCGGTGGGTGCCAGAAGAGAAATGGGTGACTTTCACCACACTTGGTTGAAGGCACGCAAAGTGTTTGTAAGAATGCTTAGCAGTGAAGGCGGGGCCAGCGTGGGCTGTGATACCCTGCTGGACGCCTCGGACCTCGCCAAGCGCCTCTGCAAGCTCATCATCTCCTGCCGGAAGGCCTCGGCCCTCGAGCACGAGCTCGACCACAGCGGCATCCGCGTCACGCCCGAGGTCGCGGAGCGCGTCCTTGAGCGCCTCGACAACGCCGGCATGCTCGCATACCGCTTCTTCGAGTGGACGCGCAGGCAGAAGCGCGGCGGGTGTGCCCATACCGTGCGTTCCTACCACACGGTGGTCGCGTCCCTAGCCAAGATCAGGCAGTACCAACTCATGTGGGACGTCGTGGCCGTCATGCGCAAGGAGGGTGCGGCCAATGTTGAAACGTTCGGCATCATCATGCGCAAATATGCCCGGGCGCAGAAGATCGATGAGGCAGTTTACACGTTCAACATCATGGAGAGGTATGGTGTTGCCCACAACCTCGCTGCCTTCAACAGCTTGCTTGGTGCACTGTGCAAGTCTAAGAACGTGCGCAAGGCGCAGGAGATCTTTGACAAGATGAATAATCGGTTCAGTCCTGATGCCAAGACCTATAGCATCTTGCTTGAGGGTTGGGGGAGAGCACCCAACCTCCCAAAGATGCGGGAGGTTTACAGCGATATGCTTGCCGCTGGTTGCCAACCTGACATTGTCACATATGGTATCATGGTCGATGCACTCTGCAAGACAGGCCGAGTCGAAGAGGCTGTCTGTGTCGTGCAGGACATGAGCTCCAGGGGATGCCAGCCGACAACCTTCATATACAGCGTCTTAGTGCATACTTATGGAGTTGATATGAGGATTGAGGATGCTGTTGCAACATTTTTGGATATGGAGAAGGATGGGATTGTGCCTGATGTTGTTGTGTACAATGCGCTCGTCACTGCCTTCTGCAAAGTGAAAAAGTTTGACAATGCCTTCAGAGTCATGGATGACATGGAAGGCCATGGAATCTCCCCCAATTCAAGGACCTGGAACATCATCCTAAATACTTTGATTAGCCTTGGAAAGGATGATGAGGCATATAGGGTCTTCCGCAGCATGATTAAGCGCTGCAAACCAGACTCTGATACTTACACCATGATGATAAAGATGTTCTGTGAGAATGATAAGATAGAGATGGCACTGAAGGTATGGAAGTATATGCGGTTGAAGCAGTTCTTGCCGAGCATGCACACATTCTCCGTGCTGATCAATGGTCTCTGTGACAAGGGTGACGTTAGCCAAGCTTGTGTCCTGCTTGAAGATATGATAGAGAAGGGCATTAGACCTCCTGGTTCAACTTTTGGCAAACTGAGGCAGCTACTTTTGAAAGAAGGAAGGAAGGATGTGCTTGACTTTCTTGTCGAGAAAATGAAGATCCTCATTCAAGAACCTTTGTTTGATTGACCCTTCACTTCTCCATTGGTATGAATGCTTACTCCTGTCATCTATTTGGATACACGTGGTTAATATGGGGTAGATTCTCCAAATGCCTTCTCTTGTTTCTTCATTCTTAATTTGCAGTGCTATTTATGAATTATATCTGAGTTTCTGTTGCTGGTTCATGTGCCACTCCAGCTGCTGAGCATATGCAGTTATCATTTAGGCTTTATGAATAGATGCTCCCAGTTGAAGGATCAATGGATGCCCAACCAAGCCATGGCTGTGTTATTAACGTCTCACTCAATCATTACTACTATCAATTATCAAACATCTCATGGCCAAAATGCTGAACTGCTGATATATTTGCTCACCGGAAACTTTTGTGTTGTAAGGCTCAGACTTGAGTCCTCCAAAAGCAATGAACTACATGTGGTCAATGGATCAAGAGGAGCTGTTCAGCGCAAGAATCCTACAAGGACCGGTGTCAGTCACAAGTGTCCATGTTCTGAACTCGAGAACTTTGTGCCGAACTGCCAATTTGTTCAGGCACAAGTCACTGCTATATAGAAATTGGTACTGGTCTGAGCATTTGATCTATGAAAAGGGGCACCACATTTCTTGAGGATTTAAAACGATGGCTGGAATTGCTCTTACCTGCACTACAATTAGCTCCATGCTTTCCTCCCGAAAGGATAAGTTGTGACGTTCAAGAAGAATACCAAGGAAATTACTGAGCTCAAGAAGGTAACATAAACGACTTGCTAATATTTTTTCCCTGCTGAACTGTATTTTTCCTGTTACATGTGACAGACTATCTTTTTTTCTTCTCTTTTGTCAAACCAGTTGGCATTGCCCTGTGCCCCTGTGTGAAGCTACATAACAGGCATGAAAAGGTGAATAACGCTTTGGTGTCGTACAAGTAGCCAAGTAGTTGATCTTAGACTCTTAGCATTAGCTGTGCAGCTACCGAGTGGCCTTGTATCTCTGTACTTATGCTATAGAATTTGACAGCTCTTTCGGTCCAGTAGGGTTGTACATCATATAGCTATATTAAATTCAGAGGATGTGAAGATGCTATTTCAATTCACAGGATTGGAGAATCACCTTTTTCGCAAATTGTGTGCAGTCCATCTATTTCAGTTCTGACAATGAGTAACTCTATGATATTGTGGTCATTAAACAGAATTAATGTTACAATCCTCTTCTCAGAAAGTACCTCTGCTACAGTAGCACTCACTCCAAGACAAAATAGTGGTAAAAAACAGGGAAGGCAGTCAGCACAAAAGACTATAATACCATAAATAGTTGCAGATACAAAAGAAAACTGGAGATTAGTGGAAATAATCCAGTTATTTCAGATTAACTGGTAGGAGATCAGATGGTGGGAAGTGTGGGTGTACACTCCCAGAACCTAAGTTGAAGTCCTCTTCAACTCAAATTTGGGTGCCTCTTTCCTCTTTTTTACAATGAGGTGTCTTTTTTCACAATAACTGGGTGCAGAAAGTAAGGAAAGCAGGAGTCACTCGTGTAATTGGTAAGATAGCTAGGATGCTCCTAAATGTAATTTTTTTTGCATTCCTTCTTTGTTGCTGTGTGTATGTTTAAATTTAACAAAAATGCACGGCTAAAAAGGAAACTGGGGAAAAAGCAATCGAACATAGGTATGATAACTAGGATGCTCCTAAATGTAATTTTCTTTGCACTCCGTATTTGTTGCATCTGAATATGCATTTCTATGTATGTCTTAAATTTAACGAAATGCACTGCTAAATAAGAAACTGCAAAAAAAAAGCAATCGGACATAAAAAGTTGTGTTTAATAAGTATTAACTTGCAAGAATGCATAGCACGCTCCTGCATTTCCCAGGAATTAGAAATGATTCAATGTGTGCTCTTAACGCTCAGATATTTAAATCATTTGTAACAAAAGATGATGTTGATGAACATTAGAAAACATAAACCCAGAAGTAAGGAAACCGTCCACTGTGTATTGTCATGCTTAAATCCACAACCAGTTCAAGCTCCAACCAACATTCTATGCCTGAAACTTTCTTTTTAGTTAAGAGTGTGATGAGCTTACCTCCAATAGTAGCACCAACCATGGCTATTGCGAACAGCAAAGGCATGTTAGGGAGAGAGTATTCTTGCTCACATGGTTCTGCTATACAACTGGGTGGTAGAACATATATGGTACAACTACTGAGAAGACATGCTTTGCTAAAGGAGGAAAATACAACTTCCTGCATATCATTATAGCTAGGTTTCCGTAACAAAGTTTTCTAGGAATTAAATTTAAGCTGTGTTCAATAAGACAGTATTAGGTTAGTTTAAATTGTTAGGAAAAGTTAAGTCTCCTTAAGCCTTATTTCAAATCAAAGGGTTGTGTTATCAGATGATACATGCTAAAATAGAGCAAGGGACTCACCATCATACCTGAAGATCAGATACGGACTTCATGAGATCATGTCCGTATACACTAGCTGCATGGATGCCATCATCATTCCTAGAATCGGTGTGAATTGTGATCAGTCAGTGATGGGGCACGCCGAGCCGCAGAACACTTACTAGTTACTAGGACAGGACAGACTTGCAGTGCTGCAACTAGTAAAGGGAGAAGAAATGATTGTTCTGCATGTCAAAAGTGAATTAGTTACCTAAAGTAAATTTTTGCATCACATTGTGTAAGTATTGCAATGACTTTGTCAGAAAGATGAATTATAAATTTGGTTAATCATGATCAGTAGTGACATCACATTCTAGAAAAAAAAACACAAAAATGAGCAGTAACTTACACATTCTTAATACTATCAAATACTTCATTAAATTGACCAACATAATTGTGGTGTTAACTTTTTTTTTGTTGCGAACAAATTGTGGTGTTAACTAAACAGGTGTCAAGATAAATTCATCCAATAGAATCCATATTAACTTAACAATGTGATCCTATGGAAATAATATATGCATTGCAAGGAAATGACAACAAAAAGGTGAAATTTTTCTTTCCCAGTTTTGAGGCAGAACCACAAAGCAAGGATGAAACATTAAAGATCAAATGGCAACACTCTTCTAGCAAGCAAAGACTTTACAAACTTAAAGTGGGCTATTTTGTTACAAAAGCTCTCACTCTAAGCGCAGAGATACACGCTGCCACGTTCAAAGAAACGGAGACATGTGGACCTGATAGAAGCAAGTTTTAGAATGGAGGCTACTCAAAGGTCAAAGCTGTATTTCTCTTTTAAGCCCCCCACCCCCAACACACACACAAACACTAAAAGCCAGGCTAATAGTAGAGCGGGCTGATTGGGTGTAAGAATCTTTACAGTTTACCTCTCAGCCTGCTCATATAATAGTTAGCTTTTCACTATTAATTCTAGCCTCACTCATTTCTCTCATAGAGTTTCTCGGTTCTTAGTGTCTAAGCCGGCTGCTCCTATCTACTCCACCTTAGCATTCAGCCTGTTTATAGGCTATTATTATACTTGTTCTAACAAAAGCACCTAGCTAAACATTAGCACAGTTATTATCGAAGTCAAGCAACACCTCTTAGGATAATACTGCCCTCCTCTCTGACATCACAAGAAAAGGGCAAAAAAAAAAAGGCTGCTGCACTAGTTAATCGTCGACGTGTTTAACAACAGGCCCTCTATGACAGTAAATTATCACCACTAACAAAAGGCTATGGAGAAAAGGAACTGGATGCCAAAAGTCACTTAAACACATGAACTGTCCGGGGCTTAGATATTACATCCTAATCTAAGCCCTAGACATGTTTCGGCAATGCTAGCGCCTGAACGTCCGGACAGACGCACGCGCGCTGCACTCCGTTTTGCGCAATCTGCGCGGGGCCCGCACGCCCGAGCGACAAGAGGGGAAGGACTCAGCCGCGACATTGTATGGATGCCCTGCCAGCGCCGGGAGGAGAACACACCGAGACGATGCAACAGAAGGATAGGAGGAGAGATGCAGCACCCGATTTGCTTTTGAAACATACAAATACAATAGTTGCAACATACGTCTGAAGGTAGATGAAATACTTGAAACATGCTTGTGAAACACTTGAAAAAACACACCTAAAAACACTTGAAAACCATTGCAACCATACGGAACATCCAGATAAAACGCATGCAACGTATGTGTGAAACATATGGAACATCCATATAAACACACTTGCAACATGCGTCCAGAAAACACAGATGAAACATTGGTAACAGATATTTACAACATACGTGTACAACCATTGCAACATATGCAACATTATGATCTACTTTTGCAACATCCATTTGGAACACTTGCAACATACCTCTGAAACACTCGAAATATACGCTTGCAACATATGCTTTTCAGGATCTCGGCTGTGCGGTCGCGATGGAGGAGGATGGCAGCGGGCGAGCGACTGTGAGGGCCCCGACGATAGGGCGCACGCAATGCCCACGGTGGAGGCGACAACAGCAGTCGGGTTATGCGGCCTCGCGCGGCGGTGCAGGCACGACGACGTTGGAGAGGAAGGCCGACGGGAAGCGCGGTAGAGAGGGAGGCGTGCGGGAGCCACGGCGGAGCCAGTCACGGAGCAGATACGTGAATATTTTTTTTAATCTGCGGTGACCGAAGGGGAGCGGATAGAAACGGCAGCTTCTAAACGTCGGGTACACCAACCGGGACGTCTAGCGCGGATGGACATCTGACTTCCAGCATTACCGTTCATGTTTACGTCTTTTCTCCGGCGGAAGCGTAAACAAAGTGAGCACGAAGAATCACGGCTGAAGCCACTGTTCTTCACATCATGGATCAGTGCAGGTCAATTTCACCCTTTTCTCCATGATTCTAGGCCAGAAGATTAATAAAAATAAATAAATTTGGAAACTAAACTTGGCAACCTGCTGACAACTATAGTAGAATACAACAAACGTTCCCAATTGGAAAAATGCAAGCGCTTACAAAAGCAAACTATGCCATCTGAATGCCAATGCCACCATAAAATGCATGTAGTGGATAGCCGGACTTGAAGAAATACTAGTGACATAACTTGGCAGCACAGCATGCATAACTGGAATATGTTACAAATACATGCAGTAACTGAGTAAACTACAACTTGCATTACATTACTTTGACAATGTCAAACCACGTTTCGTGGACTCTGCAAAACATCCCTAGTTGTACAACAGCGTAGAATAATAAAACCTAGAGCCTAGCATTTCCTCTCTACACAAACAAGGAAATCTCTGGTGGTTGGACAAAGGAGAAGATGGCTTCACCGAAGACCTCAAACAGAGACCCCAAGAGATGACCGGTGTCCTGATCCTCCTTCCAAGCTTGCCTAAGAACTGCAGAAACTCTCTGAGCGAGATCACTGCCCTGATCTCTCCGGATGGCAGCTGATGGGATGCTCTCCACCATCTGCCCGGAGGACGAGGCCTGCATCATGCCAGGGTTGGCTAACTGGTTGGAAAAGCCATCCATGGCACCTTGCATGTTTCCTCCCTTGGAAGCTGAGGCCATGGAGTTGGCTGTTGCGTCTGTTGCCATCTTCTTCAGAGGTGGCTGAGTTGCAGAGAGATCTGTGCTAGATTTTCGCTTATCTGAAATTTGCAGTGCAACATACTCTTTACTTTCAAAGTCTACTAATTCAACTGCTGACAGCAAGGACCATTTGGCACTTAATTGCCAGTCAACATGTGTCTAGTGGCATATATTCAACTAATAGTGTGCTTATATTCAACACTTACTTGGGTTGTTGGTTAAGACCCTTTTGTTGCTCCGTAAAAGAGGTCGCTTCGATGGAGAAAGCAAACCAGGAAATAATTTCAACCGATCATACAAGCATTTGCCTGCAGCACACTAAAAAATGCATTCCACTGGTAAGAAACTTAGCTTGGTATTAGTTGGTGAACCAAAATACAGTAAACATTATATTGACTGAGGACTCTAAACTGACCAGCAAGGCACCATAAACACGCCAAGCTTCCCTCCTTTTCATCTCGTTTTTCTGCTTCTCAAGCTGCAGTTCCGGCTCCAGAAGTTGCATATATGTCACAAGGTTGGGCAAAAGAAGAAGTCTAATCTGGTAAGCAGAAAAAACAATCAGCCAGTGCATAACTAATAAAAAAAAATGAGTTTCAAATGGGATCTACCGCGCTGGGCCCCAATGCAGATATCCCTTGAACAGCACCATAATGTTGTGTCAGTGATTTGGCAGGATCAAGAAATGCATGGATCAATGTTTTAGTTAGCCGATTTTGAAGGTTGTGATAGACATGACCAAACCTGAAAACCATCATCTTCAGTTGATCAACAATGTCATGAGAAAATTATATAGGCAGTTAGCCAATTACTACATACAGAAAAGACCAATTAGCAAAGAGAGCTAGAGATCATCATTCAGAAAAGGACTCGCGCTCCATGAGCAGAGTATGCAAAAGGCTATGGATCTATCAATTCCAAAAGGAAATGGATTTATGGGGAACACATAAGACACGGACAAGTCATGACCCACCCAACAAATGCATGAAGACAGAACTAAAATAAATCCTCTGTCCACACACAGCATATATAGTGAAAATATTTATTTACCAGTTGGTCTCTAAAAGGAACACAATATGTAGTCTACTCAGTAGCAAAGCGATGTAATGGTTTATTGGTATGTTTTCCGCTAAAGAAGATGTAAGCTGCCATGAAACTGATCATGTCACATATAACATGATCCCACAAAATAGTAAAATCTTGTATATATGGAAGAAAGAGTATGAAATGGTGGTCAAACTATTATTGACTTGATCTTCAACTTAAAACTGTCTAGCATATTAGCATAACTAAGATAAAGCACTTTCATGGGCACATTTTTTATGAACTGTTCTTTAAGATCATAATATGGGAATCAAGGAGTTGAAATCATAAATGTAATTGAATTAAATTTTGATAATTATACACAGGACCTACTGACACCCTTCACATATCACTCACCTCCGACATACCGAGGCAACCAAATTGGCAGAGAAGTCTCTAAGTTCCCAGTGGTCATCTGAGAGCCTATGCCCTAGCCTTTTTGCAACAATGCAAGTGATCATTGATGGCATTAGCTGGTGCAACTACAAATCAAGACAAATATTGCTAATTTAGGACTAATATGATGAAAAGAATATACAAAATGACTAAAAACAAGCCACACACATGAACTATCAAAACTTTATGGTTTACCACTTACATAAGGTTCAATATGAATATGTGGATTACGGAGAAGACTTTGGACTACTCTCATTAGAGCAAATAAAACAGGAAGATCACCCAAACTCCGGGTAACCTGAAAGTCAGATGGATACACACTTTAAGTAATGCCATCTCAAAAAAATAAAACCAAAAGCAAGAAAGGTATGTACAACCTCGTCTACAATGAAGTAGGAAAAGTAAGGAACCAAAGGATGAAGACCAGAATCTTTTGCCAAGCTCACTAAAGCTTCTTTAAAAAGGGACGTATCAGATCTACTCATAGTAAGCTCAGCTATTTTATCAAAGTACATCTGCAAAACCAAACAGTTAAGAGGTATATAAGTTTCTTGGATATATGAGTAATATACAATGCACGGAATCATAATCAAAGTACCTGTAGTTCTCTAGATAATACATGCTTAACAGGAAGCTTGACATCAACTGGAAGTCCATCATACTTCCCATGCTCAGACCTTTTATTTTCAGTTGGTGGTACAATTGCTGAAATAAAATGCTATTTGTCACAACTCACAAGTGTTTTTTCTCTCAATATTAGAGAAGAATGTGACTACATCTTGCCAAGGAGAAAAGTAAGGACTATAAATGTTTGGACAAAAAGAGCAAACCGTCAATAGCAGGATTCTCCGGTATTGCAGGCTGCACCCCCTCGATCGCTAGCCAATGGGCTACAACTGATGTGTCCAGTGGGGCTTTAGGCAGAGGAGCTTCAATAATCTGCATGACACCAACCAGGAAGAAACATTTCAAATGAATTGTTTCAAAATAAGTGGTACGAAAATTTAATAATCATTAATATTGCCCCTACCTCTTTGAAGTCTACCTCCCGATCATCAAGATAGAAGAGATCCTTATGCCCAACAGCTCTCTTAAAACGCAATGGATCACCAGAAGCAAATCCATACACAGGCTGATTGAGAACCCACAGTAATGAAACAGCAGAGTTAGTTCAAACAAAATAAGGTGTAGCAGAGGATTTAGACACTTCAATATAAAAGTATGACGAAAAATTGCATAAGGAAGGCAGTTTCACACAAACAGAAGCTAATCAAAGAGCTTGACATGCTGTGAAAATTCTAGTCAGAAAATCACATCTATGAACTGAGGAACCGATATTACAACTGTAGTAAAAACAAGTAAACAACTATGTACCAGTAAAGCCAAACCATTTTTTGCTAAAGATTTCTGAGATGGAATTTCGAGATAACAAACATATGGGATCATTGTTCAAAAAATACTTGTTCGATTGTTTACTGAACCAAATATGCAAGTGGAGGGCGTAAGTTGAATATCATTTACATATAATACCATAAAGACACTTATCAAAATCTAAAAGTTGATTGTAGTTACACGTTTTGGAAGTTCTGAACATGATTCGGAAAAAATACACGGAAAAAGAATCCTAAATTTATTAGCTACCAATTCACAAGTGCATAGTGGACCTACAAACATACATTGCAAGTATCCAGAAATTTTAGCATAGGAAGGTAATTCACCTCAACATTCCTGAGGCCCAGGGCACTGTCAACATCATCCGCCGTCAGAACAGTCCGCTTTGCATGCCGCATACATTTAATGGATTCCTGAGGCAAAAATACAGAAAATGGGATCATCACAATGGCAAAAGAAGAAGTAAAACTGCAAGGTTTCATGAAGACTCATGGGATTATAATTTTAGCATAAATCAGCGCAAGTGGCAGAAAGGGAAAGGGAACAGACAGTATCCACAAAGAAGTGAATTATGGAAAACACTAGCTAATGAAATATCAGGCCGTAGGACACTCTTCTGTTATCAAACTCCACTAGTACTTTGACAAAATTTTGATATCCAACTAAGTTCTACATCCCTAAAGGGAAAGAATTGTATGGACTCAACTAATTAAGCAGCATAACTCGAATTATCAGTTGAAAGAAAAAAAAAGACTTTTCCACCAGTTGTGCCAGTGGAAAAACAAACACCATCTCACTTGACAAGTTTATCCCATCATGCAGCCCTCAAAATTCCATCTCACATCATAAACAAGCGCACCCTAGAATTAAAAGTACTGATTTCATACAGTTGCTCGGGAGATGGACCCAAACAAATGGCATGTACTTAGTTGGGAAAACGGTGACAATCCAAGCAATCTTGATGAGAACATACGGAAAAAGGGATGCTTCTTTTGCCCTACACCATTTTACACAACCAGTAAATTTTGGATAACTGGGAACAATTCCAGCCCACAGATTCATAGCATCACCGAAAAGTAAATGATGCTCATCGCATACATTTATTAATTAATTTGGCCGAAGCACACAACCAGCACTTAGCTCAGATGTAGCAAATCAGCAAAACATCGCTTACTGAGCTCCCCAAATTCACCTCGACTGCTAACAATTCCAAGGACATCCCTAGGGCGACGGAATCAAAACGAAATCTAGGCAAGGGGGGCCGGGCCTGACCTGCATGATCTCGCGGAGGCGGTATTCCACGTCGGGGGCGAGCGCGACGGCGACATCAGCGCCGAGGCTGGGGATGCCGACGCTCTGAGCGATGACTTCGATCGTCTCCTTGGGCACGATGCTCATCGTGCTCCTCTCGCCCCCAAATTCCCTGAACCCTAGTTTAGCACTCTCCCCCTCGCTTCTTCTCCCCCAACAAATTCCCCCGAGAGGAAAGCATTGTCAATCTCTGGCTGTTTGAATCCCGTACGTGGCTCAGGCGGCTCGGAGGGTGTCCGAACCCAGCTAGGGTTTCGGTGGGTTCTCTTCCACAAATCTCCCGCAAATCTCCACAAGTCCAGTGCGTTCTTGTGCTCCCTCGTGCTCCAGGTCGACTCTGCAGGGCTGGGTGACGAGGGCGCTGCTCTGGGCGCGCGAGAGGCAGTACAAGGAGCTGGGCGGCGGGCGCTGGTGGCGGGGACGGGGAGGCGAAGGGAAGGGCGGCGCGGAGATCTCGCGTGTGCGCTTGAGGTGTCTGGGGCCAACGTGGGCTGTGGCCCCCTTGACTCAATTTTTTTTTTTTTTTTTGCGATTCAGTAATAATCAGTTAATGGCCCATGTGTTTCTAAAAAAAAAGCTAATGACCCATGCAAAACTTGAGTCTGGAGGCCCAAAAGTTACAGCTTGCAAAGGTCTGCTACCCTGCTTGTCTCATGAGTCATGACTCGTGGTCTCGTGGACTTCCGAACTGCAGCACCGCTGCCACCGCCAGCTGCCCGCCCCAGCACCGCTGCCACCGCCAGCCGCCGCCCGCCCGCCCCACTGCTGCGAGGCCGCGCGCTCCGTGACTCCGCTAGCCGCCCAGTCGGCCGGCGCCGGGCCAGCCGGCTGCCGTCCGCCCGTCCAGTCCCCGTGCGCCGCCCTGGTGGCCTGTTGACTACTTGACTGGTGAGTGCATCTGAGCATCTGACTTCTCAGCTTAGGATTTGGACATTGGAGAATGGAGATTGGGCTGTAAATTGGGCTTAGGGATAGTGTATATATTTTTTGCTATATGACTTCTACTGGTTCATTCTAGTGAACAAAAGTTACAATCATATCTTATATACTAGATGAGTGCCCGTGCGTTGCAACGGGTGCAATATAAATTGAATGCGGTGATTATTTGCTTGCCGGATATGGATCGCATGAGATGCGGTGATTATTTGCCTGCCGGATATGGATCGCATGAGTGTTTTGGTCGGGTAGATGTTGACAATCCGTATGTTTTAGTTGTAGAGATTGTTAATGTAGTGCTCTGTCTGGCTGAAAGGAACAATCATATGACCGTGTCCTAGCAAAAGCTGAATAACAAGTGAAAAAAGCTGGAACCTCAAGCAAAGTTTGCATGAGTAGAGAATTTATAAATCACCATCTGGCTCCTTGTTTGCCAAAAATGCAATGCCCACAAACTATATTGCCTGTCATGAATAACATACCTTAGCAATAGGTTCAGCCTAAAAATCAACAATGTTCGTTCTATATGTATGTTCGGTACTATCAATATGCATTGTGATGCCTTTTGCTTCCTCTTTTGCCATACAGGTGAGGAGCAAGTAAGCTAGCATCTTTAAACTTGCACCACTCTTATTTTAGTCCGCAGTAAAAAATCTTTCACATTGTAACTAAATTTGTTTCTAGAATCTAGATCTGTGGCAAAAAAATACTAAGGAGCCTTTTGCAACTGAAACTGAATAAAGCATATCTTCCAGTGTTTTGTTTCTATTCTAATTCGTAGTCATGTATACCAATTTTTTTTTTTATTTTATAGTATTGCACTTGAAAATTTTGACTAGGACTACCCTTGTTTCAAATCCTAGGTCCGCCACCGCAGCAAGGTCGGTGGGTGCCAGAAGAGAAATGGGTGACTTTCACCACACTTGGTTGAAGGCACGCAAAGTGTTTGTAAGAATGCTTAGCAGTGAAGGCGGGGCCAGCGTGGGCTGTGATACCCTGCTGGACGCCTCGGACCTCGCCAAGCGCCTCTGCAAGCTCATCATCTCCTGCCGGAAGGCCTCGGCCCTCTAGCACGAGCTCGACCACAGCGGCATCCGCGTCACGCCCGAGGTCGCGGAGCGCGTCCTTGAGCGCCTCGACAACGCCGGCATGCTCGCGTACCGCTTCTTCGAGTGGACGCGCAGGCAGAAGCGCAGCGGGTGTGCCCATACCGTGCGTTCCTACCACACGGTGGTCGCGTCCCTAGCCAAGATCAGGCAGTACCAACTCATGTGGGACGTCGTGGCCGTCATGCGCAAGGAGGGTGCGGCCAATGTTGAAACGTTCGGCATCATCATGCGCAAATATGCCCGGGCGCAGAAGTTCGATGAGGCAGTTTACACGTTCAACATCATTTAGAGGTATGGTGTTGCCCACAACCTCGCTGCCTTCAACAGCTTGCTTGGTGCACTGTGCAAGTCTAAGAACGTGCGCAAGGCGCAGGAGATCTTTGACAAGATGAATAATCGGTTCAGTCCTGATGCCAAGACCTATAGCATCTTGCTTGAGGGTTGGGGGAGAGCACCCAACCTCCCAAAGATGCGGGAGGTTTACAGCGATATGCTTGCCGCTGGTTGCCAACCTGATATTGTCACATATGGTATCATGGTCGATGCACTCTGCAAGACAGGCCGAATCGAAGAGGCTGTCTGTGTCGTGCAGGACATGAGCTCCAGGGGATGCCAACCGACAACCTTCATATACAGCGTCTTAGTGCATACTTATGGAGTTGATATGAGGATTGAGGATGCTGTTGCAACATTTTTGGATATGGAGAAGGATGGGATTGTGCCTGATGTTGTTGTGTACAATGCGCTCGTCACTGCCTTCTGCAAAGTGAAAAAATTTGACAATGCCTTCAGTGTCATGGATGACATGGAAGGCCATGGAATCTCCCCCAATTCAAGGACCTGGAACATCATCCTAAATACTTTGATTAGCCTTGGAAAGGATGATGAGGCATATAGGGTCTTCCGCAGCGTGATTAAGCGCTGCAAACCAGACTCTGATACTTACACCATGATGATAAAGATGTTCTGTGAGAATGATAAGATAGAGATGGCACTGAAGGTATGGAAGTATATGCGGTTGAAGCAGTTCTTGCCGAGCATGCACACATTCTCCGTGCTGATCAATGGTCTCTGTGACAAGGGTGAGGTTAGCCAAGCTTGTGTCCTGCTTGAAGATATGATAGAGAAGGGCATTAGACCTCCTGGTTCAACTTTTGGCAAACTGAGGCAGCTACTTTTGAAAGAAGGAAGGAAGGATGTGCTTGACTTTCTTGTCGAGAAAATGAAGATCCTCATTCAAGAACCTTTGTTTGATTGACCCTTCACTTCTCCATTGGTATGAATGCTTACTCCTGTCATCAATTTGGATACACGTGGTTAATATGGGGTAGGCTCCAAATTCCTGCTCTTATTTCTTCATTCTTTAATTTGCAGTGATATATTAATCTATATCTGAGTTTCTGTTGCTGATACTCTTCATGGTTCATGTGCCACTCCAGCTGCTGAGCATATGCAGTTATCATTTAGGCTTTATGAATAGATGCTCCCAGTTGAAGGATCAATGGATGCCCAACCAAGCCATGGCTGTGTTATTAACGTCTCACTCAATCATTACTACTATCAATTATCAAACATCCCATGGCCAAAATGCTGAGCTGCTGATATATTAGCTCACCGGAAACTTTTGTGTTGTAAGATTCGGACTTGAGTCCTGCAAAAGCAATGAACTACATGTGCTCAATGTTTCAAGAGGAGCTGTTAAGCACAAGAATCCTACAAGGACCGGTGTCAGTCACAAGTGTCCATGTTCCGAACTCGAGAACTTCAAGCCAAACTGCCAACTTGTTCAGGCACAACTCACTACTACTACATGAAAAAGGCCAAACTGCCAACCAGTATATTGAAACTGGTACTGGTCTGAGCACTTGATCTATCTATGAAAAGGGGCACCACATTACTTGAGTATTTAAAATGATGGCTGGAATTGCTCTTACCTGCAGTACAAATAGCTCCATGCTTTCCTTCCGAAAGGATAAGTTGTGACATTCATGAAGAATACCAAGGAAGTTACTGAGCTCAAGAAGACTGGATTGCGTGTTTGGTGTCCCTGTGCTGATAAAAAAGGTAACATAAATGACTTGCTAATGTTTTTTCCCTGCTGAACATGTCCTGTTCGCTTGGCTTATAAGCTGTATTTTTTCAGCCAACGAACAGTATTTTTCTCTCACAACAAATCAGCCAACAGTACTTTCAGCCATGGTTTATCAGCCAAGCGAACAGGGCATTTATTTTTCCTGTTACATGTGACAGACAATATCCTTTTTTTCCTCTTTTGTCAAACCAATTGGTATTGCTCTGTGCCCCTGTGTGGATGACAGCCATGAAAAGGTGAATAACGCTTTGGTGTCATACAAGTAGCCAAGTAGTTGACCTTAGGCTCTTAGCATTAGATTAGATGTGCAAGTGCAAGTGCAACTGCCAAGTGGTCTTGTATCTCTGTACTTATGCTATAGAATTTGACAGCTCTTTCGGTCCAGTAGGGCTGTACATAATTTGAGTCTTAGAGAAATATAGCTATATTAAATTCAAAGGATTTGAATATGCTATTTCAATTTACTGGATTGGAGAAGCACCTTTTTTGCAAATCGTGTGCATTCCATCTATTTCAGTTCTGACAATCAGTAACTCTATGATATTGTGGTCATTAAACAGAATTAACGTTACAAGCCTTGTATCAGAAAGTACCTCTGCTACAGTAGCACTCTCAAGATTGGGAGCTTGGGGATTAGCACCCAGGGAAGGAAACCCAGGAGGGGGGAATTTTGTTGGCTCTAGAGATCCCCGTCAGTTCCATGGGATGGAATCTCCTTTGGGGATTTGTTCCCTGCGTCTCTTTGGAAGACAAGGTGCAGAAAATCCCAGGATATAAAAAAATATCTCAAAAAATCAAAAAAAAAAAAACTGTCACATTCAAAACTACACATGCTGTCCAAAAGAAAACTTCAGATTATTTCTGAAACCAAAAACTGAAACATGCAAAACTCAAATTTAACCAAAAAAAAATTGACAACATTTCTCTGTACTTTATGAAAATTCTACTAAACGAAATATATCACAGGTCTCTCCATAATCAACATAGGCTGCTTTCTCAATCTTGCAGACAATTTCTTTGGATCAACATCTTGATGTAAACCTTGTTTCTCTGTTAAACTCCCGCAGATACATTGAGTAAAAATTAGAGTAGAGACTACGTAATAGTATATATGCTATGTTCTAAATGAAAACTCTTTCAGTGCTCCCCTCCCCGAGTCCTGCAGCATCCCGCTGACGGCGCCCAGATCCGCTTGCAGCCTTCCCAGCTTCCAGCCCACCTTGCCCGCCTAAGCCCCTCCAGCCTCCGCCTCCCGGCCCATGTCCTTGTCATTGGCCGCTTGCTTGGGTCTCCGGGAGGCCCCAAGCAACCCCGCCTCCGGTCCCCGACGATGGTGGGCTCGATCGAGCCCCGCTCCAGAGTCAACGACATCCCTCCTCCTGCCGCCCCACAACAGTAGGGTGCGCTTCGCCATTACTCCTCCCTAACCACCGGCTCCTTTATTGCTTCGCCATTACCCCCACCATCCAAAGAATCTCGCCTCAGATCCGCGGGTCGCTCACAAGCAAGGGAGAGCCCCTCAGTTGCACTTATGGTGGCGCACCTTCCCAAGGCGGCCTCGGACGCGACGGAGGACTCCAGCGCCACAGCAAGCGGGCCGGGTGGCTATGCCCGGTCACCTCACGATCCGAGATCGATGAAGATGGTTGGACAAAGGTACTATGGAAAAGGCGTCACTCAGCGAATTAATTCCCACCAAATACGCAAGTACCATCATCGCGCTTTGCACTTCTGGAGTCACTCAGAGGGAGGTGCCTCCGGTGCCTCGTTGGCTCCATCGGGCGGCAGACTGCAGGGAGCCGGTCCGTTGCATCAACTGCAGACGAATTGGCCATAAAGCTGTGGAGTGCAAAGCAGAGCCACATCCCCATCCCGCCGCGACACTGCAAAGACACCCATCTCGCCCCTCCGCCGGACACCACCAAAGCTCAGCTCCTTTGCCCCCCTGCCGCGTCGCGCCATGCAGGCACCCGGAGACCCCGCGGCCCGCCTAGAAGATACCTGCGCGGTGGCGGCATCGACTATGGCAATGGAGGCGGAGGCGAGGCGCCTCTCCTCCTATGCCATCGTGCTTGGGCAGTGGAGAGGCAGAGGCGAGACGGAGCCTAAGGAGGTGGAGAAGGCGCTCCGTAGATGCTTCGGGGTCCTAGAAGGTGACGTCGTTGTTTCCTGTCATCGACCAGAGAACTTCCTCGCCGTCTTCAAGTACCCCCACCACCGAGATGTCGCGGTGACCAAGGAGAAACTTCCGGTGCGCAACCTCGACTTCTGCATCTGGCCATGGCGGATAGAAGCCTATGGAGACCACTGTGAGCTGCGCCATCATGTGCGTCTCTGCCTGGAAGGAGTTCCCGTCCTTCCCGTCCACGCTTGGAACGAGAGCATCGCTAAGCGGGTGGTGGCGAGAGCGTGCGACATCGACTACGTGGAGCAGCAATCGGTGGACCGGGAGGACACCAGGGTGCTATGCCTCTGGGCGTGGACCTGCAATCCCTCCGATATCCCCAAGGTAACCGGGCTTTTTACATATTTATCATTATTACGATCGCCACTTACAGAAATCGCACTCTTAGAATGACGCTTACAAATTTAGCCGTTTTAGTTCGCGCTCCTTTCATTTTTATCACTTTCGCCTATGTGGCACGCCAGCTCGTGCTGACACGCTGGCACTGGCACGGGAAATGACCCCGCTGCCCCCGACCATCTTTCAATTAGACGCGCCGTTGCCCTCTCCCTTTTCCCCCTCCCCATTTCGTTCGCCGCCGCCTCCTTCCTCTGCCCGCCCGCCGCCCCCATCCTGCTCGTCTCCACCGCCACGGCCACCACGGACGGCAACCATGTCGCATAGGGCGGAGTCATCCAGCTCGAGTAGGCCGGCGAGGAGGCTGAGTTCCGCGGTCGCTAGGTTTGTGGCCTATCCGGTTGGTACGGAAACAGGGCTCCCCTTGATTGTCTGCCCCGATTGCAAGCTCGCTCGTGTGATTGAGCTTCGCGTGGTGCAGGACACTCGAAACAAGGGCTGCAGCTTCTTCAAATGCCCTAGAAACGGGGTGAGTTTTGGTGATTTTCCTTTTTCCTTCATTCTAGCCCTAGCTTGTCTTATTTATTTCTTTTTTTTTGCACAATCCGTAGCTCTGTAGCTTCTATAGGTTCCAGAAGGCTTATTTTGATGAATTGGTCGACAAGAAGATCATCAGGATCTGCTGCGAGGAGATTGAGGAACTGGTGGAGGAGGGAGGAGAAGAGCACAGTGAAGGCGCCCATCTGGGGGTGGAGGGCTTGAAGGACCTGAAGACTGAGGCACTGGAGAAGAAGCTTGAGAAGATGATGTCAAAAATGAACTATGTCATTGTTTGTCTTGTGGTTGTTGTGTTTGGAGTAGTTTTCAAATCTATGATGACCTGATGTAGTGACTTTGTATGACAATGAACCCTTTTATTTCAATGAAATTGGTTGTCCAGTATGCTTGAATGAATAAGCAGTTGGAATTGTGCATTCTCAGTATCAAATGAATGAGCAGTTGAAGTTGTTTTCAGAGAATGAGCAGTTACAACCAACTTGTAATGAAAAAGAGCAACTGCAAGCTGACATTGAAATAGGGGCTAATTGTTTGCAATTACATTACATAAATAAGATGTTCTTGACATTCAAATAGGGGCTGGTTTGCCATCACATAACTGAGATGTTCTTCACTACCAAAATAAGGGCACCATGCTTCCTGTTTCTGTGTCCATTTAAGTACGTAACATAAATTACATGCCATTGAACACAAAAGTTTCAGATCATTGCATAAAAGACCATCCATGGTCACTTGGCCTTGGCCTTGCCCTTCCCCTTGTCCTTCTCTCCATTCTTCTTAGGTGGTGGAGTTTTCTTCACTTTAGTTGCTAACTGCTTTCTCCTTGGTGTAATTTTCTTCACAGGCTCAGGTTGGACTTCATCTTGTGCAAACAGTGCCCTATTATAGGAAAAAACTTATTTAGTTACCAGCATAGTTTCAATTAACCATCTTAAAGAAGATGAAATGAGTACCTTCTAATTGGTGTTTTTGGTAGAACAGCTTCCAAAGCCATTAGTTCCAGGCCTCCTTCTTCTTCCCTTGCTGCTTCAAATTCATTTCTTGTAGCTTCCATTTCCTCCCTTGCTGCTGCTTCTGCTAGTTCCCTTGCTGCTTCTGCCTTCATTTGTGCTTCCAGGGCCTCCCTCTTAGCTTTTGTTGATGCTTCTCTTGCCAATGCTGCTCTTGTTCTTGGAGTTAGTGCTTCATCACCACCAGATGTCTTGGCCTTCTTCCTCCCAACCTTGGCTGGTTTCTTCTTACTTGCTCTCTTCCTACAAAGTGTAGGGTCAGTGGTTATCATTTACAAAAAAAACAAAAACAAGTAAATCACAGTTAGAAGGCACCTTTTCTTTGTTCCAGTGTGGGGACACTTCCAGCTACTAGCCCTGTGACCATACTCTTTACAGTTTGGGCACCTGACTTGCCTAGTTGCTTTGCTTCCTGTCTCTCTTGCTGGTTTCATCCTATTTTTCCTCAATCTTCTAGGCTCTTTCTTTTTTTGTAGTGGAGAGTGGACTTTGTACCCCTTGGCCACCTCAGGCCATTGATTCCTATCAGTGATGCTTGGAATTATACCTGCATATGCTGCTTGAAACTTGGCCACAGAATAATAGTTGTCCACAAAGGATCCCATGTCAGGGTTCCTCATGATGGTGATAACTGTCAGTGCATGTGGACATGGTTTATCAGTTAGTTGCCACTGCCTGCAAGTGCAAATTTTCTGAGGTAAGTACACAATATGCCTTCTAACTTCATCTTTGTACACATCAGTGACCTCAGCTTCAGTAGGGTGGCCTTTGGAAACATGCATGTGACCTAGTCCCCTGGAGGCAGCATTGAGCTAATAGATGACAACAGGCAATATACCAGGAGGCAATGCTATAGAAATCTTCCTTCTTTTGGCAAACAAGATCATTATCTGCTCTCTAATGGCATCTACCATGCAGTGCACAGGCAAGTCTTTGTGCTCTTTAATCCAAGCATTCCAAGATTCTGCTAGATTGTTGTTTATGTAGTCACACTTTATATCAGCAGAGAACTTGCTTCTTGCCCAAAGAAATGGATGGTGCTCATCAAGCCATTTCTGCACCTCTGGACTAGCTGCCAACACTTTGTCAAAGAAGTACTTGAACTTATGTGGGGAATATGCTCTAGCTGCAGGCCACATATTCTTGCCATACACATCACCTGTGTAGTACTTCTTCATATTCTCCATCAAATGCCTAAAACATTCTCTCCACTCTGCATCTGGAAACACACTTTTTACAGCTGACTCCAAACCCTTGCATGCATCTGTGCAGATTGCTAAGTGCTCCATGGGCCCAATTGCTTTCCTAAGTTGTTCCATAAACCAAATCCAATTGTCTTTTGTCTCAGAGTCAAAGAAGCCAAATGCTAAAGGAAACAACCAGTTATGGCCATCTAGAGCTAAGGCTGCTGGCATGTGGCCATTCCAGGACCCATTCAGAGCAGTGGAGTCTACACTGATATAAGGCATACAGCCATTAAAAAAACCATCTATACTTGCTTTGAATGCACAGAAGAATCTGCTAAACCTAACTTTGCCTTCATCATCTGTGATAGTGTCTATCTCTACCACACTACTAGGTGATCTCAGTTCTATCTCAGCCTTTATCCTATACAACCAATCGAAAGAATCATTCCACTTACCAAAAAGCTTTTCAGATGCTCTCCTAGTCCCATTGTACATTGTCTGGTAGGGGATGGCAATACCATATTTGAATTTCAACTCCTTTTTCATCTCTGTAGCCCCCATTGATGCCTTCTTCTTTAAGAATTGAACTACTCTCTTTGCCACCCATTTTATTGAGGCCATAGTGTTGTCTTCAACCCTTTGTGTAGATGCACACTTATGATCTTGTTTATTTATTTGAACCTGCATGTACAAAAAAAGCCATACATAAGTATAATTGAAAGGCTTCAAACCACCAGTTCAATGGAGAAGATGCAATGCAAACAAAAGCTACAACAAACATGTGTATACAATCAGAAAATGTACCCTGACACTGCCATCATGTTGGGTTCTGGCTCTAAGTTTCCATGGGCAGACTAGAGCACCACAATGCAGACTCAGATCTTTTCGTCAGGTCTCAATGCTCAAGAATAAGCTCAAACTCCCTTTTTACAAAGATATTGTTTAATTGCTAGCCTAAGCTCCTCCATCTTTGGGATACACACAGGCCTACACTCATATCGTAATTGTCCCTCGTCCCATTCATACGGTGGCTCTTCATGAGCAATGTCATCAACATCAACAATTCTTTCAGATTTATGTCTTCATGCATCCAGTACGACATAGCTGGAATTGGCACCTCTTGTGTACCATGTTCTTCCTCTCTTGCCTCAGCCTTCCTTGAATCCCATAGCCTCATATATCGATCCTCATCAACAAGCTGTGTAGCAGTACCATCATCTTTAGGGTTCTCTTGAATGGTTAGAATGCTCCAATCAACTACTACTACAGGTTGTTCATCATGGGGGGGGTGGGGTGCTACAAGTATCACCACAACCTTCAACATCATTAGGCTCTGCACTATGTTCATTAGTCACACCAGAGACATAGCTAGCTCTAGAAGCAGCTGAACTAGCATTGCCATTACACACACCTTTCTTGACAACATCAACTGTAAGAAAATCCACCCTCTCATCCCAGTGGTCCTTAATCATTTGCTGCACATGTTCATCCCTCCTAAGCTTCCACTCAGAGCCAGTCTCTTGGTCTACAACCCAGACTGCAAGTGTTTGAGAAGGCCCCCAGATAGTCTTTGTTGATAAATCATCATGGAATTTAGCAAGAGAATACTGATCGTTCCTATCAAACCAGATGTCATTGTAGAAGATGATGTTGGGGCAATAAGCCACACTCTCAATGGGAGAGGGGCGCTTATTATAGGGCAAAGAAAATGCTTTGCTATATATGGCGATTTACAAATACAAGGACAGGAGTAAATCTCTCGATCCTAATTGATGGATCGCTTAAATATGCAATATACAATCTCCTATTGCCTAATATATGCAATATACAATCTCCTATTGTTTAATACCACCACAAGTAGAAAGCGGGGGCTTATGACGCACAGCCGGTTCTCGAACTCTTGAAACAGTGGCGTTGGGAGCCCTTTTGTCATAATGTCAAGAAACCGATGAGATGAAGGAACATGAAGGACCCGAATCTCACCAAGAGCCACCTTCTCGCGCACAAAGTGAATGTCAATTTCAATATGCTTCAGGCGCTTGTGGTGGACCGAATTGGCCGTCATGTAGATGGCGCTTAACGTTGTCGCAGAAAACCACCGTGGCACAGGGCAGCGGAAGATGGAGCTCTGAAGGAGTTGCCGCACCAATGACACTCGGCCACAACGTGAGCCACAAAGACGGTATTTCGCCTCAAAGACTAGAGCGGGAGACCGTGGTGCTGGGCGTTGGAGGACCAGAGACCAGGTTGTCGCCGAGATAGACGCAGTAAACCGAAGTGGACCGCTGAGTCGTGGCAACCAGCCCGGCCAAGACGTAGTATGCGGTCGGGTCTCGAACGGAGCCGGCGCCAATGTGAAGACCGGAGGATAGCGTGCCCTTCACATAGCGCAGAATGCGCTGATCGGCCGCAGACGGTGGGGCCTTTGGGGCGTGCATGAAGAGACACACTGTTGAATCGCGATAAGCGATCAGACGCGCCGTAGTCGTGCATCAAGAGCCCTCGCTAAGCTCCGAACTCGAAAGCTGTCCTTGTTCGGCGCTTTGTCGCCGTCATGGGCGGAGAGCTTGGCTTCGAGTGTCAAAAGGGGTTGACGAGGATGACACTTTCACCATGCCCGCCATTGGAGGAGATCGACGGCGCATCGTCATTGTGGATGTGAACAGCCGTCGGGGTGCGGGTGACGGCGACGCCGAGGAAGTGGTGAAGAGCACCCAAGTCGGTCATGGCGAACTCGCATCGAGTCGGGCCATGAGTCGCTGCAGAAGAGCGGGAGTTGAGGCGGTGAGGATGATGTCGTCGACGTAGAGCAAAAGTAGGCAAGACTCGCCCCTCGGTGAGAACAAAGAGGGACGGTTTGAGGCGGAGGTGACGAAGCCGAAGCCGTTGAAGGAAGGCCGCGAACCGCCGGTACCAAGCACGGGGGCTCGCTTCAATCCGCAGACAGGACTTCGCAGAGGCGACGTGATCTGCAATGGGCGCGGGTCGACGAAAACGGTGGTGGCGCCGACAAGAGACCGTCTCGTCGAGGTGGCCGTGAAGAAAGGCATTCTTCACATCCAGCTGATGGATCGGCCAGGCGCGGGAGACGGCAATGCTGAGAACAATCCGAATGGTAGCTGTTTGACCACCGGATGAATGTCTCGTCGTAGTCAATACCTTCTCGTTGGGGAAAACCCGCGGACCACCCCAAATGGGCCTTGTGACGAGCGAGGGACCCATCGGCATGGAATTTGTGCCGGAAAATCCACTTGCCCGTCACAACGTTCGCGCCAGGAAGGCGCGGAACAAGACGCCAGGTGTCGTTGTCGACGAGTGCCTGGTACTCAGCCATCATCGCAGCCCGCCAGTTGGCATCGGCCAGGGCGCTGCGGTAGTTCGCCGGTAAAGGCGATGGTGAAGCGAGGAAGTGGCGCGAGCCCTCGTAGCTCACACGCGGATGGCGCCGGTCCCGTGCGCGCGTGAGTGGCGGAGATGGGGTTGCGTACCGAGGCGCCGGTCTTTGTAAGGGACAACCGATGGCGCTGCCGGCTGGGTCGCTGATCAGAGGTCCGGGGAACGAGCCACAGGAAGGCCAAAGCGAGGGGCACGTGACCACACCCGCCTGGTGGTGGAGAAGCGAATCGGGGCTAGGGGGGCACAGGCCGCGAGCGCGCCCTCAGCGAGAGAGAAGAGCCGGGTCCGCCATCATCGGGGCGGTACGTGACACCGCCCAGTGGTGGGACGAGCAACCGTGGTCGTTGAGGAGGGACCTCCACCTGCAGGAACAGTAGAGCAAGGCACCGAAACCGAATCGTTGTCTAGAAGGAAATCCAGGAGCGAGGGAATGGGAGGACGTCGGTGGAAAAAAAGGAAAACAGTCTCATCGAACACAACATGGCGAGAAATAATGATGCGTTGAGTTTCCAGGTTAAGACATCGATAACCCTTATGAGAGGATGGATACCCAAGGAAAATGCATGCCGCGGAGCGAGGTGCGAGCTTATGTGGGGAGGTAGCCTGTAGGTTTGGGTAGCATAGGCACCCAAAAACACGAAGGTGGCTGTAGGTGGGTGGCTGTCCATGGAGGCGAGTGAAGGGAACCTCATGGGATATGGAGGAGGAAGGGCGCCTATTGAGTAAGTAGCAAAGCGGCAAAGAAGGGCCTCACCCAAGATGCTGAAAGGCATGGAAGCGTGGAGCAGCATGGTGCGAATTGAGTTGTTGAGGGTGCGAATGGTGCGTTTCGCCTTGCCATTTTGAGGGGAAGTGTATAAGGCGGAGAGGCGGAGAAGTGTTCCCCGAGCAAATGAAGAAGGTGGTGGTGGGTTGATTGACTAATTCGGTGCCATTGTCGGTTTGGAAGCATTTTTGCTGGAGGTTAAATTGGGTTTGTGCAAGAGCTGTGAGCTCAACTAAGTGTTGGTGGACCTCGGATTTGCGTCAAGAGGAAAAACCCAACAATAGTGACTGTAATCATCCAGTGAGACTAAATAGTATGAAAAACCAGATATGCTAGGTATTGGAGAGGTCCAAACATCACAATGAATTAGGTCAAACGGGGCATGAGAACAAGACTGAGATGCACTGAAGGGTAGACGCGTATGCTTGCCTAGTTGACATGAATGACAGAGGGAGCGGTCTACTTTATTACAAGAAACAAAGATGTATTTTATTTAACTGTTGTAATGCAAATAGGGTTGGATGGCCAAGACGCTGGTGCCATGTGGTCCATTTAAACAACCAGAGAGCATGTGAAGAGGTGCCAGCGGTCGGAGGGATAGCAGGTATGGTGTAGAGATCACCGGTACTATTGCAGCGATGAATCACGCGTCCCGTCTGGGTATCCTTAACAGAAAAACCAAGAGCGTCAAATTCAAGAGAGCAGCGATTTTCACGGGTGAATTGACGAACGGATAAAAGATTACGGACGAGGGAAGGGGCGACGAGAATGTTATTGAGGGAGAAGTTTGCTGTGGCGGTGGGAAGGATGGAGTGACCTCTAGACGTGACCGGAATGCTAGTGCCATTGCCTACTGTTATAGAGGAGGTGGAGGGGGGTAGGCGCTGGAGGAGCATACCATCGGAGGACGTCATGTGGGATGAAGCGCCGGAGTCAACAACCCATGAGGGGCTGCCTCGATAATCAAGTGTCTGCGAGGCGCAAGAATGAGGTCGGCCGAGTCCCATGTCGGTCCACCAGTGTTGTTGGAGGAAGCCTGGACGGGGGCGAACGCCGTGTGCGCCTGAGGAGAGGCACCGAGCACCCCCTGTTGGCGTGGGGGCTGCCATGTGTGGCTGCCAGGGGTGCCGGAACCGCCCTGGTCGCGCTCCCAGGGAGGTATGACGCGCTCGCCGGGGTTGACACGTGCACCAGTCCAAGGATCAAACCCTGTGGCGACGCTGCATCACGCCGAGGGTTGTCGCGCGGCCGCCGCTGTTGCCGTGTTGTTGGCGCGGGCCGCCGTTATTCGGCGCGTTGATTGCCGCTTGGCCGGCGCGCGGCGCCGCCGCCGCGGGGACTCGGCCGGGGCGCCACTAGGGGCGCCGGTGAAAAGCGGCGAGAAGGGTGAAGCGGCGCGGACCTTTGTCTCGTTCTTGAGACGCAGCTCCTTGAGGAGGAGTTGCTTCACGGCAACAAAGAAAGGTGAGGGTTCTGGCGGCGATGTTGTCGGGCGACGGATTGGTACTTCTCGTTGAGGCCGCGGAGCGGAGTTGAGGACGAGGTTGGACTTTGTGATGGTCTCCGCCCGACGTCGCGAAGATTGTCGGCAGCCTCCTTCATGCGCGCACGCAGATTTCGCCGATGGAGGAGTCGCTACGGGTCAACGAAAGTGGAACTCGTGACTTAGGAAAAACAATGTGGGCGCCTTTGTTAGCTTGGTATAGAGGCGGCGATGGGCTGCCCGTAGAGCCGGGCGGTCTGGCTGGGCGCCGGTCATAGCGAGGTTGAGGACGGAGTCGGAGACGGTGTCGAAGATCCAATCTGCGGATCAAGAAGTCACCGCACCCATGCATCATCGGTGGGCGTAGGGGGGAGACGACGCCAAGGTGCGAGAGCAGCCCAATTTGCCACACATGGCGTTGAAAGTCGTGGACCACTTGGTGTAGTTGGAGGGTCGCACTCGAGGGTCATGGGGATGTGGGTCTTGACGTTTACCATAGCATATGGGCAAACGGTTGGGTTTATGGCTTTCACCATGGCCGGAGAGGTGGCGGAGGTGGTGGAGGATTCTGTGGTCATGATGGCGCGTTGGCATTTTGGCAAGCAGAAGAAGGTTGGGCGGCACTCTGGGAGAGAGCGGCGCAGCTTGAGGGAGGAGAGGAGGGCCAAGATCAGATTGCTCTCGATTACCATGTAGAAGATGATGTTGGGGCAATAAGCCACACTCTCAATGGGAGAGGGGCGCTCTATTATAGGGCATTCCGTGCCGCTATATATGGTGATTTACAAATACAAGGACAGGAGTAAATCTCTGATCCTAATTGACTGGACTGCCTAAATATGCAATATACAATCTCCTATTGCCTAAATATGCAATATACAATCTCCTATTGCCTAATATATGCAATATACAATCTCCTATTGCCTAATAGTCATGCTGCTGCTCTGCCATGTCCACTGGACCATATTCATCAGCAACATATGGACCAACCTTAACAACTAGCCTAAATGCACTGCCAGGATCGATCCTGGCATCATCATAGACATGGAAAAACATGAGCAAGTACAGACTAAGTACTACACACCTACTGTGGTAAAGTGCTTACCAAGGAGGGCAATCACCAGTGGCCATTGTGACACGGATCAGATGGAGACGTACTACATCAATCGCCTATGAAGAAAATAGCAGAACAAGACGAAATCAGCGAACATTAACCTAATCCCTAACCCTACTCGGCGCGGGCTCTGTGTCCCAGTTACGAAGTAGGGCACGTACCTTCGATCCGTCGATGATGGATGTGCCGAAGAACACCAAGGTTGCCGTCCGTGGTGGCCGTGGCGGTGGAGACGAGCAGGATGGGGGCGGCGGGCGGGCAGAGGAAGGAGGCGGCGGCGAACGAAATGGGGAGGGGGAAAAGGGAGAGGGCAACGGCGCGTCTAATTGAAAGATGGCCGGGGGCAGCGGGGTCATTTCCCGTGCCGGTGCCAGCGTGTCAGCACGAGCTGGCGTGCCACATAGGCGAAAGTGGTAAAAATGAAAGGAGCGCGAACTAAAATGGCTAAATTTGTAAGCGTCATTCTAAGAGTGCAATTCCTGTAAGTGGCGATCGTAATAATGGTAAATATGTAAAAAGCCCAAGGTAACCTGGTTGACCATAACTGACAATACAGTGCTTATTCATGACGGCGCAGTCCCCCCTCATGGCCGACGCGGGCTAACCTTCCGCATCATCGTCCACCTCGACCTGCTTGAGCTGCCCCCCAGTCACGCCCGGGTGGAAACCAAGGACTTCACTTGGCACTTTGGGGTCGTCGACGGCGAACGCACGCCGCGTGAACGCCAAGAGCCACCGCCACCAAATCCGAGGCGCCAGCATCGTCGGGACGACGACGACGAGCGTCGTGGCCGTCGCGAAAGGAGGAGTGACCACTAGGGGTCACGTCTGCTCCGGAGCCTCTCTCGTGCCCCGGAGCGGGCAAGAGAGAGGGAGCGGTCAAAGTCACGACATGGCCGTCGCGACAGATCGACTGCTCCAGGGGAACGACGCAGACACGACCACGACAACGATGGTGCCAAGAGTTGGACTCCGCCACGCAACACACGCGTAGATCGCCGGAACGAGGATGACGACGTCCAGAGCGGGTCACCACCTTGCCGGCCGCGCTCAACTACTGGAGAGCACTGCATCAACGACGACATCCGCAGCAGGTCGCCATCACGTCGTTCGCGCCCTGCTCCTCGTGGGCGCACCAGGAGCGAATCTCCACTGTGCCACACACGCCAGCTCGCGGCCACGACGATGAAGGCGCCCAGAATGAGTCTTCACCTGGCCGAGCGCGTTCAACTCTCGAAGCCCCGCCCCCAGCAACCTCCAACGGCGCTGTGCTCGGAGAGGACAGCAGTAACATGGTCGTGGGGTCTCCAGGGACAACAAGCAGGACGGCGGCCACGACAGCACCGTCTGGTATGCCACATGTGACAGGGAACACCCAACTGCTCGTCTTGACACACAAGGAAGGCGCCGACACTACACCGCTGCCTGTTGCAGGTGAACATGACGTCCTGCCGCCGGACGGAACATTGCTGTCCGCCGGCCATGGCGTCCTGGAGCAGGGCGCAGCATCGCTGACCACCGTCCACGGCGTCCCGGCGCAGGGCACAGCAGCACCGACCTCCGGCCACCAGGGACTGACTTCTGAGGGCAGGAGCGTTCTGCAAGTCCCACTCCCAGTCATGGCCATGCCCCCTGCTTCGCCGGCGACTCCAGCAACCTCCATCCGCGGCCGCACAAGGGAGCGTCAGTACGGGCGCCGCGCCCAGAAGCTCACCCAAGACGCCGACAAATGACGGCGACAGCTGCATCGTCAGCCACAGGTGCAACACTCGCAGACCTGACAACGACAACAGTGGCTCCCTGCATCCACCAGCAGTAACATGTTCAACTGCAAGTTTTGACTGTCCTTCACCCCCCATACTACACAGGTTGTCATCCCCAACCAGTGGCGACAGCAGGGACGACGCTGCACAACGTTCTGCCACAACTGCGGTGTTCAGGCGATCTCCTTGCTCCCACCAGGCCGCGTCTGGTACCCGATTCAGAAGGTACCGCCCAAATTGCGTCTATGTCAGGCGTAATTGTCGCAGGCAGCGCACGGCGTCTCCACTAGCCCAACAGAACGCGGCGGCCAACTTCATCAGCACAGTCACACTGCAGACTGCAGTGCCGCTGCTCCAAGGGCCACCCCAGCGAACGAGGACAGTCAGACGCAGGAAGAAGCGGTCTTCAGCCCCCCTGCGCAAAAGTGTGCGCATTGCAACAGCATCTTGGCCGCGGGGCGATGCGCAAGCAAAGGCGCGCCAAGTTCTGATGAAAAATCTTGGCTTCATGGAGGAGGAGGACCGTTCGCCGACGCGCTGCTGGGCTACTTCAAGCTGTTCGGCGATCCACTTTCAGGGACGGTGATCCAGGCGTTGACTGCCCTTTGTGGCCTCGGCGACGACTCTGGGGCAGGCTGCTCCCAGGCTTAGGCTTCATAGTTCGGTGCAAGGGCTACATTATGTAACTCATGTCAAGCTCCAACCATTTGTATCTTCAGTTCAGTAGGTGTGTCGTCGTCTCCAGTTATGTATCGGCTGTGAAGGATACAGTGGTGACGGCCAGGGGCCAAAAATCACCAAAGCGCTCTCCACTCCTTCAGGGTCACCATGTCATCTTCAGTTGTTATTCTACTATGTCTGCAACAAAGCTACTGCCATCAGCGCTGCTAGCTACCTGTTGTAAGCTTCGGTTTGGAAATACTACTGTGATCGGCTGCAGCCAGTTTACTCGCTTCAATGTGTCTGTTCTTCCCTTACAGTTTCTGCACAGGCTGTTATTTGGGGAAAATCTTGTTTTCAATGACACAACGTAATTGCAACATCCTGTGCTGGAACGTGAGAGGCCTCCATGATGTGGTGAGGCAAGATACAGTGAGCTTGCTAGTTAGAGACACGGCCTCCACCATCGTGTGTTTGCAGGAGACGAAGATGCAAAATTTGGATCAAGGTGTTGTCAGACGTACTGTTGGGGCTAAGTTCGCCAACACTTTTGTGGTACTACCAGCCACTCAGACACGAGGCGGCATTCTTATTGCGGTCAATGAGGATTACTTCCAGCTCTCCGACCAACATTTATCTACACATGCAGTGACTGCAACAGTCACCATGAGGGCAGATGGAACCAAATGGCAAATTACGGTTGTCTATGGCCTGCAGGGAGATGCCGAGAAATTACAATGTCTACAGAAGCTTGCAGCTATTCCTTGCCCGGCCCATGGGAGATGGCTCGTCCTAGGAGATTTTAATTTCATCTACCAGGCAGAAGACAAAAACAACTCCAATCTAAACCATCGCCTCATGGCCTCCTTCAAAGCGGTCATCGACGACCTGAACCTAAAAGAGATAGGCCTCAACGGACGTCATTTCACTTGGAGCAACGAGCAAGACAATCCGACATTAACAAGAATCGACAGATTTTTTTGCACCCCTGATTGGGAATTAACCTTACCGACATGCTTTCTCCACTCTTTGCCTTCTCTCATGTCCGATCACACCCCGCTACTCCTGCAGGGAGAACTTGAGCACTGCCACAACCGGACCTTCCGCTTCGAAAATTTTTGGGTCAAGATGGATGGTTTCAGGGACTTGGTGGAACAAGTCTGGAGTAAACATGTGCACTTGGAACAAGTCTGGAGTAAACATGTGCACTCTTTTTTATCCATCAAACGGTTGCACACAAAATTAGCACGAGTGGCCAAAGGCCTTAAGCAGTGGCGCAGGGAGTAGGTTGGGGACACATGGTTGCAGCTGGCCATTGTCAAAGAGGTGCTGCTACAGCTTGAGGCAGTGCAGGAATTTAGGACACTCACACAACATGAACTCGACCTGCGCCGGCGTCTAAAAATCAGAAGCACCGGCTTAGCTGCCATTGAAAAGTCAAGGATTAAACAGCGGGCTAGGCTCACATACATCCGCAGCGGAGATGTAAATACAAATTTCTTCCACATTCAGGCCAGCACAAGATTGAGGAAGAATTATATCCATTGTCTGCACACAGATGGGAGGGTGGCGACTACACACAATGACAAAGAAAAAATCATCGCGGATTACTTTTCAGCACACCTAGGCTCACATACACCGAGGCTAGTCTTCCACATTCGGTTCTTCAAAGCCTGCTGGGACATTATCAAAGACGATGTTACTGTTGCGGTGAACAGCCTGTACATGCTAAACTCCCAAGGCTTTGAGCTCGTAAATACAGCAAACATCATCCTACTCCCAAAGAAAAGGGACGCCTTGCGAGTTACATATTTTCGCCCAATCAGTCTCATTCATAGCATAGCGAAGATTTTTGCCAAGTTACTTGCAAACATGTTGGAGCCGCTGCTGGACTCCTTAGTTTCGAAATGCCAAAGCGCATTCATCAAAAGGAGGAGCATCCACGACAACTTGCTATATGTTCAAAACACAGTACGGGCAATGCAAAAGATGAAGCTACCCACGCTGTTCCTGAAACTTGACATACACAAGGCCTTCCATAAGGTCAGCTGGAGCTACCTTCTGGAGGTATTGCAGGCCTTAGGGTTCGAACCACGTTGGTGGGAGTGGGTATCGATCCTTTTCCGCATGATGTCGTCGAGAGTGCTGCTAAATGGACAGCAGGCCCAGCTTTCAGTCACAACAGAGGGGTTCGACAGGGTGACCCTCTATCGCCCATGTTGTTCATTCTCGCTATGGACCCGCTTCAACGCCTGCTTGACATGGCAACACAGCAAGGCGTCCTCTATGCTCTTCCTCTATCTACGGCCAGGTGGAGGACCTCCATGTATGCTGACGATGCGGCTATCTTCATTAACCCGATCAAGGACAACTTGGACTCCATCATGACGATCCTCCAAGAATTTGGTAGGGTCTCAGGTTTACATATAAATCTGCAAAAGAGTTCCATCCACCCGATCAGATGCCAAGACATCGATCTAGACCATGTGTTAGCCTCCTTTTGCAGGGGCAAGAGAATCCTTCCTGTGCCACTACTTGGGACTACAGCTACATACGAGATCCCTGCAGAAGGTCCATGTGCAACCGCTCATTGAACGCATAGGGCAGAGGCTACCTGGTTGGAAAGGTAGAATGCTCAACAGAGCGGGCAGACTTACTTTGGTCACCTCAGTGCTATCCTCGATGCCTACCTATCACCTCACCGTGTTCTCTCTAGCGGTATGGGCAAGAAAGCAAATTGACAAAATCAGAAGATCATTTTTGTGGAAAGGTGATGTGAACGCCAACAGAGGGCATTGCTTTGTAAATTGGCCGACAGTCTGCATGCCAAAAGATTTGGGAGGGTTGGGGGTGCCAAACTTGGAAAATTTTGGAAGAGCCTTGCGCTTATGTTGGTTGTGGCAGGAGTGGGTTCATGACTCAAAACCTTGGGCAGGGACGACACTGCTGTGCAATGACCTAGACCGTTTGCTCTTCAACGCCTCAACAACGATAACAATTGGGAATGGTAACAAGGCACATTTTTGGCTTCACAATTGACTAGATGGTGAAGCTCCAAGATACCTAGCACCCCATCTTTTCTAGCTAGTGAGCCGAAAGAACATGACGGTTTGCCAGGAACTACAAAATGGTAATTGGATCCGCTCCCTCAGAACGCGAATCACAACATCCGTTCAGATACAAGAATTCGTCGCCCTCTAGTTCAGGATTTAGGAAGCGCAGCTCACGCCCGATGTGCAGGACTCCATAGTGTGGAGATGGACGGTTGATGGAAACTACTCCACACGTTCGGCATATAACATACAGTTCCAAGGTTCACACTGCAAGTTCCAAGCTAATCTCATTTAGAAAGCAAGGGCGGAAAATAAATGCAAGATACATGCCTAGTTACTAATGCACGACAAAATCTCATGGAGGATAACTTGCAAAAGAGAGGGTGGCCACATCATGAGCATTGCGTCCTGTGCAATTGACTTTTGGAAACAGGACTGCATCTATCTTTGCTATGCCCCTTCGCTAAAGCCGTCTGGAGCCAGGTGTTATCTTGGGAAAACTTTGATGTGCAACTGCCCCAACAAGATCCCCAGTGCCGAGCCACCTGGTGGGAGGAGGTGGCGAGCAAGGTGCCAAAGCAAGAACGCTGAACATTTAATGGAGTGCTCATTTATGTTGTGTGGAACCTGTAGAAGGAAAGGAATAGGAGAATTTTCTTCGAAAACGAGCACAAAACATCGGAACAGGTCGCCTATCTGGCCAAGGAAGATATTGTTTAGAGACGTAGGGCCATGTGTAGTGCGGGCTAAATCAACAAGCGCATGAGCGGTGGCTTCTGTGTGTTGGCTCTATGGCGGTGTTTGAGTTGGTCCTATGACCAGGTTTCTTGGCACGGAGCTGTAGCATTACTGTAGCACGGAGCCGTTTTGGATTTCGAGGCAGAAAATGAACTGAGAAGAGGAGGAGCCGGTGGAGCCACGATTTCGGAGCCAGAGCCGGGAGAAGCCCCTCCAAACAGGCTCATAGTTAAAATGTTCAAGGTTTGGTGTTCATTTAAAGAAAAATTATTTATGAACTTACATGTCAATAATTCACTCTAAATTGGAACTATGTGTTTGGCGCTATCAAATAATGTATTCGTTGCTGATCAAAGATGCTAGAGAAAGTTGTTTGATATATCTCTGAAACTTAGCTCTGAACTATGAAGTTCATATCTGAAAACAATTTTTCGCAAGCAACGTTCGAGCTCCTTGATCTACGAGTTCAAAGACTAATTCGTATATGTGCTTTAACAATTAAGGTAGAGATATAGATCAGGAACAGAACAGTTTTGCTTAAGGTTGTATGGACCACGTGCATATAGGATTGTAAGAAATTGTGTGGCACAGTTAAAGTTTGACCGAAAACCTGCAACTATGAAATCTGTACCTGTGACTCTGAAAACAAATTTGGCATTCAGTTTTGGAAGCTAAGTCTGGAAGCCATTTTAGGAATGACATATCTGGAAAATTTGAAACAAATCTATAGTATCAATCTTGGTATATCAAATGGCCTTGTTCAGGTTAACTAACATATCAGGATCAATAGTTTTGAAGGCATTCATACCAAAAGAACCACACTTACACATGTTTGCACCTTTTTAGCTCTAGGCCTCCTCCATCCATGGACCTCATATGGACAACAGAAATTGAATTGACGTTAATTTGAAATACCAAAAGAACCAGTTGCAGAGGATAATCAAAACATTGGTTTCTTTATGGTAATTTTCAATGGTACACATTTTTTATTCACAGAATATCCATAATACAACAACTCTAAAAATACACATCCTCCCCACTGCACGATGTTTGGAAGCCCACACTGCAAACTAGAAACACATATCATCCAAATACATAGAAATGCATTGCGTGTTTGGATACAAGTGTTTCTGCATGCATCCAGAAAGTAAAATACACTGTAGGCATCCAGAAAGTGAAATACAACACGTATCTCTACTATCATCACAAGAAATACACTGTAGTTGCTACTCTGCAATAGTTCACACCATGAACCTGAGCAAGGACTATAGGGACAGTGGGAGTATGAATACTACCATTTCGTGAGCCAGCTAAAAGCACGATAGTCCTACCATTTCGAGTAGGATGACCACGGTCGTCCTTGCCTCCTTGGGGAACTAACAATAACGCCGCAGCATTTAGTATGGCCGTTGCTTAGATTTCAGGCAAAGACGACTGAACGGGTAGAATAATGGCGCCGCGTCATGGGGCCATGGGTGGGCGGCGTAGGGCGCACCTTGGCCGTACGAGATCGCCGGACGCCGCGCCCCTACCGAGCTCGCCGCATTAAATTCCGCGCCCGGGAGACGGGATTGGTTGCCCGGTAGGTGGTGGCAACGGCGGCGGCCCACGCCGCCGGCCTGCCGCCCACCACGACATGCCATGCCCGACCCGAGTACCCACCGATCACGCTTGCCAATGCCCCAACGGCTAGTCCGTTTGCGGTTTGCGGCAAAAGCGAACGGCACTGCGGACAGTGCGGACCACAGTGCTCGCGTCTACTCACTGGTCATAGTGAGGTGACTCGTGAGCCCCGCCATTGCTGGAGCTAGTGACATGGGCAGATGGGCCTCCGTTCCAAAAGGCAAAATGAACGCAACTTTAGATTTAAATCAAGCTAATATTTTAAGAAGTTAACTAAATTTATAGAAAAATATCAATATTTTTTCAGAAGGGCCAGCACCTGGACGTGCAGTCACAGGATGCACGCATCGCATCCCACTCCCCCTTGCGCTTGCATCGCATCCTATCCCACGCCACCCGCGCCTCGCATCCCATCTCACGCGCAGCGCCTGCGTCCAAACACAGCAAACTTGACAACCCCCACTCTAACACCAACACCGAGGCGAGATGGTGGAAAGGGAAGGAAGGGGGGAGAGAGGAGAGGGCGAGGCGCGCCGCGCGAGGTAGGAGCCGAAGCCCTGTGGAAAGTGGCAGAACCACCTAATCTGATACCCTCTCAGGAGTATTTGTCTTCCATTAGACACTAAGTACCCAAGAGAGTGCACTAAATCGTATTGTTCCGTCGAGCACATCCCAAGGGAGAACTCGAAAATCCACATTTTTTTCATCAGAATCATAAATGAGAGAATAAAGTTTACAACATTCTTAACCATTTCTTACATCCCTTTATTACAACATTAGAGTGCTTAAACAAGTTGAATGCAATAGCAAAATTAAGACAGTTTTACATGTAAAAGAGTTTATACATTTTAGGTTTACATTTTTATCTTGTAG